ATTTAGCAGATAACACACATCCTTATACTAAGAAAATGTACTAGTTGCTTTGGAAATGAGTCTTGCTCCCTAACCTGTTGATCAGACAGTTTGGGGTCACACTGGGACATTCAGGGGCATAGTCTTTGTAGTCCATCAGTCTAGTAGTCCAATGACTCTTTGTTCCCAAACTTAATACCGTTTGTTAGGTGTATATTCATTATTTCTACTATTACTATTATTACAACTACTGGCTATTTACAGGATATTTATGTAATTAAGTTTTCACTGTTGGGGGTTTTTCTAAAACCTTATTTACAGAAACACACCCACAGAAGCATATCTTTCGTATCACACTATCTATCCGCACATCTTCACGCTGTCCTTGACAAACTCTATGTTTTGACAAAACTTGCAGCTGCTTGCTCAAGTTTAACTAGAAAGTAACTTTTTAGCAAACTCATTTGCTATGTAATGCCCTGAAGGAATCAACCATATTATTTTTTATGGTTACATCCACACCAAGAGAGAAGAAGTGTTCTTCCTTTTCTTTATGATAGCCCTTCAGATATCTGAAGATTACTTTCATGTCCCCCTCTTCACCTTTTCTACACACTGAAAATGCCTATTTCTGTCAACCTCTTCCCCTATGCCTTGCTTTCTGAGTCCTTCAACATTTTTATCAGTTTTCACCCACCTTGACCCGCTTTCACTTCTCCATGGACTTTTCAAAATATGACACCCAAAACTGCACACAATGCTATAAGGCCTAACCAGTGCCAAGTAAAGAGATATTATGTTCTCTCTTGCCCCATACATGACTTAAAATGCTGTATAGACAGTGAAAAGTGGATATTTGGATATTAGGAAGGGAACAGAATGGCACCCCTTGCGTAGAGCAAATTCCATAATGATTTCTTCCCTGAGTATTTCAGGAATCCAGATATGGATGCTTCAGATCTGTTTTTTCTCCCCTTCTTATTTGTACACTTGGAGAAACTCTGATATTCCAGACTGGTGCCTATGCTTTTGTTGTCTGTGTTAGTAAAATATATGTGGTATGTTCAAGACTAACACCAAAAGGTCTCTCCTGATTCAGCATACATAAGTGTTTGCGACCAATTGTGACATCTCCCTTGACAATTCTGCCAATGAGGACTTGAAAGTACTCGGATTTTTAGATTGGATTAAAATTTCAGTAATATCTTTTTATATCAAGGTCAAAATGGTCTGAATTTTGTGATTACATTTTTAATCAAGTTTTGCTTCCCTTCATTCTGTAGGCAACTAGACCAAAGTGTTCACTGGGGTTAGGTGCCTAACTGCCAGTGAAATCAGTGGAAATTAAATAACTCTTAGACTTTGGGGCTTAGGGTGCTGTTTCCAGGTTACATTTAAAACATTTTAAAATCTGTGGAATGTTGTGTCCTCATAAAGTTAGAGTGGTTTTAGAGCAGTCGCTAGTTAAGGTTTAATGCTGTCTCAGACCTGAACAACTGTGACTTGCCACCAGAAGGCCTGGTGAGCAGTGGCCAAGACTCTATTCATCCTCTGGGGTGGGCAAAGAGGAGGAAAGGTGCCTTGTAGTTCCACCAGAGAAATAGGATTTTTTAATTTATTTTATTTTAATTTATTGTATGTATTTACTTAATTATTTACTTAATTAAATATTATTTACTTAAAGCTATTTACTTAATTAAAAATACAAATGTATTTTATTTATTTACTTAATTATTTATTAAGTAGGAGTGGGAAGGTTTGGGAATGGCTTCACTCTGCCGCCAGCAGGAGTTGTGAGTGGGAAGGGCAGAAGTCTTGAAAAAACTGTTTGAAGTGAACAGGCACAAAGAGATATAATGAGAGAGGGTTAAAAAATGAATAAATAAAAAATCTAAGATTTGCACATGTTTTAGTAAATTGGGGTTGGATCAGGATGGAGTTGGGTTAATACTCACACCAGGGCAGAGCCAAGACCAAGTAGGCTCACTGCATGGGTTGGCTGAGGGGGTGCTGAAAGCTATTTCAAATAAATAACGGATCAGTTCAAATGAATACTGGGGAGGAGGAGAAGCTGAGCCATGGTGCAGTGACCGGCAGTGGTGGGGAGAGGCAGGGTGGGTAGAGATGGAGAGGGTTTTCAGTGCTAAGAGCCAATAGTCCATGCTCATTCACAGTGAATTGGCTTTTTAATTACTCCTCTGGCACCAACAGCTCACCAGCTGTATGCACACTGGTGTGCTAGTAAAGTAATGAGCTGCCCCTCGGTGCACAGAGTGGTCAGGGTGTGCTGAGATCACACCCCCAGGGAAATCTGGGGTGTTGGCTTGGGGCAATAGAGTTCAGGAGGGTTGAAAGTTTGCCCATGCACCAAAAGCATGGGAAGGTCTGGGAATGGTGCATCCTAGGATGGTGGTGGTGGGGGAGAGAGAATAGGATAATAGGAATTGGATTTTTATATCTCCAAGAAAGCTTTAAAAATCAGAAACCTTAGAGATAGTTGCTACCACAATAGAAAATGGGGATAGAGAGAGAGAATAAGGGGTTTTATTTTCATTTACACTAAGAATACATTTAAGCTAAAAAAAAAAAAAATTAAATAGGCCTCAGGGTAAATGATATGCAGGTCCAATTTTGTCTGAGAAAGCAAGGCAGTGTGTTTCTTGGAAGAGTTATTAAGTGAGGTTCCCTCAGGGGTCTGTCTTGGGTCCTGTATTGTTTAACATCATTAATGATACATGCAATGAGACTGAGTGCAAATTTTACAGATTTGTGGATGACACCAAGTTTGGTGGATTGCAGACACTCTGTATGGCAGGGCTAGGATCAAAAATGACCTGGATAAACTTGAGAAATGGTCTGAAATTAATGAGATGAAATTCAACAAGGACAAGTACAAACAGCTTTTTCTATGAGGATGATGCAGCCAATGTGCAGCATTCAACTTTAGCTCTCCAGGAATGTCCTCAGTGCCTTGTTCTGCCCCAACCCCCATGCCCCTAGATACACTACTTCAGGGTTCCCTGACCATTTTCACCACACGGCACACTTACATGGCCTCTCCCACCCCATGGCACACTGGCCAAATGCGGGGTGAGGGGGTGGTGAGCAGCCAAGCGTGGAGTGAGTGGGGGGGTGCGTGTGACGGTGTTTTGGGCTGGAGCCACGCTCCCCATCTGTCTGTCTGCAGCAGCACCAGGTGGGGGGTGTGGCTCCAGCCCAAAATACTGTGGCACACCTGGACATGCCTGACAGCATGCCAGTGCGCCACGGCACACTGACTGGAAAACGCTGCACTACTTGAAAAGGAGGTGCACCACCCATGGCAAAAATCCCAAGAGGGATGTTGTTCTGCTTGACCTCTCTTCCTCAGCTCCTACGACTGGGCTACACCTGCCATAGCAAAGACTTCTGGAGGTAATGGGGTGGGTGTCACATTTTTGTGCCCCCTGCCACAGCTGAAGTGCAGTGAGCTTGTTTCTTAGCTGCAGAAGCAGCTGCTACCAGAGCGTGGAGAAAGTGGGGCTGGTAAAACCTCCTTCCACACAGCCCGGTTTCTCCAGCGGATAGTACTTGTCCCAGGTTGCTAAAGATGCTCACTATACCTCTATCTCCATCCCTGGATATTTTCAAGAACAGCTTGTGCGGGCTGGGAGCGGTCCGAGGCCCTCGGGGGCTTTTTTCCGTGCGGAGGGCTGTGGCCAGCAGCCCGGACACGCCGGGTTGGGGAAGGCAGGCGGTACGCTAGAATTAGGCACGGACACTTAGTGGTTGATTTAAGATTATTTTACTTACACCGAAGATGGTCGCGGTGCAGGCAGGAAAACTTGCTTGAGTTGCAGTTACAAAACAAAACAAAACTTGAACATGCAGAACATGAGGGTACGTCGCAATGGGGTTTCGGCGACGGGAAGATAAACCTGCAGGTCTCGACCCCAGGTAGAGCTCTGGATTCACTCACACGAAGTTTGCTAGGCTCCGTGGAACTTGCGCACAGGGAAGGGTACGTCGAGGGATCAGGCGGTGACGGGGAGAGGCGAGAGGTTGATCAGACCCCTATAGCCTTCTTGAGATACACGCTGGGTCCGATAGGCTCCGCAGCGCTTAGAGATCTTCACGAGATGTGAAGTTCTCTTCCTCCTGATAGTCGTGGACTCCTCCAACTTGGGCGGAAATCGCTCAAGCCTCTTATACGGCTAGCAGGCCAATCACTAGCCGCCACGTGGGAATAATTTAGAACTGGCCAATAGTGGGACACAAATTTGAATACGAATGGCGGGAACTCCTTGCACCGTGCATTTCTCTTTTGCAACCTAGAAATGCACCCTGCAAAGAAAGCTACAAGTGGCGGGAAATAATTCAGCAGTGCCGAAGTGCACACAAACAAAAATCACACCCTTGGGTTGTGACACAGCTTAGAAAGAAACTTAACTGAGATGGTTCAGTAAGGGGAGGTTGGACTACATGACTTCATGAGGTCCCTTCTAGCCTTATTTTCCCTTCACCCTATGATCCCAAGAATGAAGGAAGGAAGAAAAGACAGAAGGAGAAGGGTGAGATGGTAGCAAAATTATGTGAAACATTGTGGCCTCCTTTAAATTAAATCGAGTTTTCTATTGCAGATATAATTATCCCAACTTTTCAGACATTTACATACAATAAGTCAGATATCCATTTGCTATGATTTACATTTCACAATCTCTTCTGACACAGACTTAGTTTTCACCATTGTTCCCCAACCTTGAAACGCAATCACTGAGATGGAGCAAATATTGCATTTTCTTATTAGCAGTGGCTGATAAATGAGAATTTTCAAAGAGCCCAATGGAGGTAAATCAAATGATCAAAACCCACTGCATTCCCCACTCTAAATAAACAATGCATTGGCACATCCTCTTGTATGTGTGGTAAGGGCTCTCATTCTTATCATGAAGGATCAAGTCACCTTTACGTATCCTAAGCCCATCTTGCTTTCTTCTGGAGTAGTACAAAGGGTAACCTATAGTTTGCCAGTCTGACTCGGACTACCAGGCCATCTTCTTCCTGTGAACCTTAAAAAAAATGGCAAATGCTTTCTGGGTTCTTACAAAATCTACGTATTTCCTGACAGCTTTCCTTATGGACTCCTTGACATCTTTGTTTCTCAGGCGGTAAACGAGGGGATTGAGTAGGGGAGTCAAGACAGTGTAGAAGACAGAGAACACCTTGTTGAGGTCTCGCATTGTGTTGGATTTTGGTAGCAGGTACACAATAATTAGAGTCCCATAGAAAACTGTCACCATGATGAGGTGAGAGGAGCAGGTGGAAAATGCTTTTTGCCTTCCTGTGGTGGAAGGAATTTTGAATATGGTGGTGATAATATAAACATAGGATATTACTGTTAATAGAGAAGGAGGGAAAGTGCAAAGAGAACAAATAATGGACATGGCAAGTTCCATCTCAAGGGTGTTACTGCAAGCAAGCGAGCAATTGTGGGAAATCACAAAAGAAATGGTTGATTTCACTATAGCTACAGAAAGTTAGTTGTGACATGAAAAACACTACAATAGTATTAGCCAGACCGCCACTTATATAAAAGCCAATTGTTAGCCATAGGCAAAGCCTCCTATTCATAATCGATGCATAGTGCAGTGGTTTACATACTGCTAAATAGCGATCATAAGACATTGCTGTGAGAAGATAACATTCAGAACCTGCCAGGATCCCAAAAAAATAATACTGAATGAGGCATCCCCTAACGGATATGGTCCTATCCTCAGTCAGGAAGCTAGCAAGCACCCTGGGCAGGATTGTGGAGATGTAGCAGGTTTCCAAGCAGGACAAGTTCCCAAGGAAGAAATACATGGGAGTCTGAAGGCATCGATCAGTCCCAATCAGCACAACAATGAGGATGTTCCCAAACATGGTCATGATATAGATCATGAGAAACAGCAGAAAGAGTGGAACTTGCAGTCCAGGGAGATTCCCAAATCCCATGAGAATGAATTCTGTAATGACTGTTTTATTTCCCAGCTCTGTGGTTTCCATGTTATTTACTTGGGAGACAAAAAAAGAAAAAAAATATGCTGTATTATTTGTAGAAGATAGACCTATTTTTATATAGTAGCCTCTGTTTAATTTCCCAGTTTTCCATGATTGATCACAAACACTTAATTTATAGATCTAATGGCTGGGTCAAGAGCATACATTTGGAAGATATGCTTCTATTAAGTCCTGTCTTTTTGTAAAATCACAAGTCATGAAATAAGAAGAGAAAGAAAGGATAATCATTCCACTCTGATATTACTTGTATTTCCTCTCTGTGCTTCAGTTTCTGTTCCTTAAGGTGATTTTGGGTAATGGATTTTTTTAAAGATATAGGTTCTAAGATGGGATCTGAAGCAGTTGAGAGGCTTCTGGGTTTCGTGAATGAGGACAAGGCAGGTTTTGGAAGAAGGCAAAGGGGATGAGAAAAAGTGAGAAGAAGTATAAAACATGAAAACTGTTAAAATAAATGTGAAGATTAGGGCAGAGGATGAAGAAAAGGCTTATGAGTAAGGATAAGGAACCTAGTTTAGAAGACAGGGATGCTTGAAAATGAGAGATTCAGAGATGATTTTTGAAATGTTGTTTTGGAGAGATTTGGGCAAGAAAGCCCTTTGAAAGAAGCATAACAAGTCATAAGATAAAGCTTAGAATAAAACAAAGTAAGTAACAGAAACAAACAAAGAGTTTGGTAATTTAATCTTGAGTATCATGACGATCATCACAGTTTGTAGCTGAGTTGGAGCATTGTAACTGTGATGGTCTAGGTAATATGGAAGAAACAAGTGTATGTTTGGGGAGGCATGATGATAATGTGTTTTATTTGACCAACTGTAAAGTTGCAAAAGAAGTTCAAAAAGATTTGGGACTTCCTGAAGTCTTTCTTCAAATGTCCTTTCTTAGCCCAACCCTGAGGAAAGAGACTTTGTGTCTGGAGCTTTTGTGGGACACCTTTTCTCCTGCAGTGAGCCTTCAGTCCCATTTTATCTTAACCCTGGCACAATTTATAGGCAAAAACAATCTCTTAGGTAGGCATTGTTCCAGACAATTCAAGTGAATATCACTCTAAAAATAGAGGATTTTATACTATCAGGGTAGACAGAAAGAATGCCTTATAGGGTCTACATTTTTTAACTATCAGGAGTTTGAAAGGTGCACTTACTTTACAACTCACGTTGTACAAGGTGGAAATCTGTAACATAATCTCTTTTACCAGTATCCCAGAGGCTAGAAGGTAGATTCCCTTTAATCTTCATAGAGATCATATCTCTCAGTGAATAGCATACATTTCCCAAAAAGATTCTGTACTATGGTCAGTCACTGAAGCTCCTTTATTTCTTCTTGTAGCTCTTACTGCAAGGTGTGCCTTCTCCTTTGCATTGCAGATTATTCTCTGAGGATGGTTAACTTTGCCTTGGAATTCTGCTAACGGGAATTTGTTAAGGGAATGCAAATGATATAGTCTCTGATTTTTTAGAGGGCCCTAAGGGAGTTTGGCATCAGTATGATGTGGGTTCCTAAATTCTCTAGGCTCCTGCATAACATAGTTTATATATATATATATATATATATATTAGGCAAAACTAGAAAAAAAACAAAGTGAGTAGAGTAAAACTTTTGTCAGAGGGAAACTTCTCATCTCAAAAGGTTTTTATTTTACAGAATGAGGGGGCTGGATTGTTTTGGAACTGTGAAATAATATTTATTATGTGGGGTAAGGGAAGACAAAAAATACCCCCCCCCCCCCAAAAAACAAACAAACAAACCAACAACCCACAACAAAAACCCAACCCTCACCCCCAAGATTTAGATCTCTCATTTGGTATTTACTGGGCATGTGTACATGTGCATGTAAGTGTGACTAAATTTAATGCACATTAAGTGATTTTTGGCAAGTGTGTACCTGGGCACAGACTTTGTACTAAAGATAATCCCAAGTCCCAGAAGCCCTGCCATGTGCCCCTGTGGCCACCGGGGAGAGGGAGTGGGTCTCCAGTCTGTGCCTACATAGCTGCCAGTGCTTAGCAACCATGTTGAAGACAGAGCCAGCTGCCAGCACTTGGCAACCATCTGGGAAACTGATCCCTGGCCAGCCCCTTCCCTGCCCAGGAGCCACATGCCCAGTACAGGGACAGCATTCAGCAGCTCCCTCCTTTACCCACCCTGCTTCCCTGCATCAGGGCTTTTCCAGTCCTTGTCCCTGCCCTTGGCCCTGCCAGTGATGCCCAGTGCTCCATGCTCCTTCTGGCCATGGTGCTGGCCCTGCTGGCCCCAGCAGCCCCCCAGTGCCCCCAGGCCCAAGGACAACTGTGCACCCACCAGCGGGGGCCAGGGCAATGGCTGTGGGAGGCCATTCCTGACCCCCTTCTCCTGCACTTCCCATGCCAGCCTGCCTGCCCTGCCTCCCACATACCTACCCCCTGCCCACTCCCAGCACCACTCAGGACACACACGTGGATGAAACAAAAAAAACTTTATTAGCCTCACCAATGTTCCCTCTAAGGAGTAGTGGTCCATGAGTGTGCCACTTCAGTCCATGAGTGTGTCGCTTCAGTCTGTGAGCACATTGCTTCAGTCCTGCCTTCCCCTTCTGGCACGGTGTGGTCCGCCGGTAAGTGTCCAAGTGGGAGCGGGCAAGGTTTGGCCGCCAGATGAAGGTAAGCTCTTCACTCCTCATGCAGGGCAGGCAGCAGCTCCTCCCTGAAGTAAGGCAGGGGCGGGGATGGGGACAGGGCTGGGGGCTAGGGCTGGTGCAGGCTCTGCTGGCTCCCAGGAACTGCTCTGTGGGCTCCACCAGCTCCGGAGAACTTCTCCACTCCCCATCCCTGATGCCATGTGCCTCTTCACTCGCGGAGGTGATGCAGGCGAGCGGAGCAGTTCCCCAGACCCTGTGGAGCCGGTCCCTGGAGCCGTTGGAGCCCCCGCCGGACCCCAGCCCCTGCCCCCACCCCCATCTCTGTCTCTGTTCCTGCCCCTGTATCACCTCAAGGAGGAGCCACTGCCTGCCCTGCATGAGGAGCTTACCACCAGTAAGTGTCCCATGCCAGCCTTGGTGCCTCTGCTGTACTCCGCACCCAGCTTCTCTCTGGGTTGGTGCACAGCCATAAAAAGGTGGTGCGTGGCAAGATTTTTACTTGTGCATGGCCACACATGCACGTACCTTAGAGGGAACACTGACCCTCACAACACCCACCCCCATTCTTTCCCCTACCTCCTCAATCAACAGAGCCCCTCCACCACCCTCCCCACCTACCAACAATAACAAAACCCACTTACAAGGGGAAAACTATACAAGGGGAAAGTTATTTACAATATTTTGGGTCTTCAAGTCCAGAATGGGGGGTTGTGGGGGAGTGGCTTGGGGGGCAGGGCCCTGGGACCGGTACACAGCATCCCAGACCCTGGATGTTCCCTGGAGCTGGGCTCAGGATGGCCCCCTAGTAGCAGGGCAGACCCATCACTAAAGTTAGTGCTGGGTGGTGTCTACACATGAGTTAATGCACATTAACTAGAATCATAGAAAGTTAGGGTTGGATTTGCAGGTATCAGATTTAGCCACGATTAGCCTAAGTTAATGCAGATTCAGAGTACACTTATGTAGAAGCATGCCTGTAATGTGCATTAACTTAGACTAATGTGCATTAACACATCTCATGCAGACATTCCCATTGTTTCTCTCACTGGTGAAGGCTGCTGTGGCTGGCTGGGAGCCACTGGTGTGGGACTGGTGGCCAGAGGCTGTCTGTAGGTGGCCCAGAACCCGGAGTCACTGCAGCGTTTTAAGGGCCAGGCTGGGGCAGGCAAAGAGCTGCCCCAATCCTGGGGCTGGAGAAGCTCCAAGTCCTGTGTCCTTGGGGCTAACCTGGGGGTCCCCGGTGGTGGGAATGACTGGGAGCAAATTTGCTCCAGGTTGGCAGGTACACATGTGCTACTGTTCAGTAACTACTCCATGGTTAATTTGCTACCCACATTTTCAGGTAGTGAATTAACTGCAGAATAAACTAATTGACTGCACTATAAGTATCTGCACATGCAGATGATCATGCTTTACTGTGCAGTCAATGGGTGTGCCTGCACATGCAGGCATGTGCTCTTGCAGCAGCTCAAATAGCAGTGGCACAAATTTGTGCCAGAGATTTGTGCCTCAGCACAGATGCTTGAACATGAACTTTGGTGTGGGACAAATTGCACCACTTGGGGCAAACTGACCCTACCCAGCTCGCCTGGATCTTAAGCTCTGTGTATCCAAAATAGCAATATACTGGCATAGATGTACATTAAAATAATAATAATATATATGGAGAAAAAAAGCATTTGCTATCTATTCTTCATGCCTCATTATGGTGACTTCGTTCTTTGTTCCAATACTGATTTATCTATGGGGTACCAGAAAACAATTCACAGAACAGTCTTAGCAAGTTGTCTTCTGCCTTCTTTACCATCCTGATACCCACTATGAACCCTGTCATCTACAGTCTTAGGAACAGGGACATGAAGGATGCCTTGAAGAAAGCACTGTGTAAACTTCTGGAGTCTTAAAAGGACTTAATTCATTTTACAGATAATAGTTTCAGGTGACACCAAAATGGAGACAAATGGCACTAATTTACTGTCAGACACCATTGTCATTTTGACTAATCCTTGATTAGCACCTGAGAAAGTCTATGAAAAGCTTGTGAAATCCATCCAAGGTTCAAGATCTCCATACACAGAAATAATAGGTATTCTGCTGTACACATTGCACTGTGTTATTGGTATGTTGGATGAGGATGTACAGTTAGCTACTGCCTAAACTTGGCAAAGTAAAAACATTAATTCTGTGTTTATGCCACATATTTAATATATCCCTTTTTTATCCTGAACCTTTCTCTTATTCACTGCCTGAAAACCTGGGTAAAAGAGTTAAAGTTAGCTGGCAATGCATCACAGGCTTCTGTACATTATCCTCTGGACAAAGTTACTGATGTATTGTGATTGCATGTCAACCAGAGTAGCAGTTTATT